GGACATTGAGAAGCAATATGTCACGATCCCAAGTACCTAAAGCATTTTAAATCCCAATTCCTATGAGGTTGGGAATCCACCTTGGGTATAGCTTTGCAAGCAACCTCCTCCCTTCCCCTTGGCAGCTCAGTCTTCCCCTTTAAAATAGCATCTTCACCTTTATTGCTATCTCACTTCGATTTTCACGAAGAGTTAGAATGCAAAGAACTCAATGGGTATTTAGCTACTCCCCTTCTTTTCAACTACCGCTCTACCTTTATAGCTACATGCAGTATGTCTTCCAACTCCACGTAATATTATAGTTCCACCACATTAGCCATCTCCCCAATCAAACCATTCAAAAATCCAGCCATGGTGGCTTTCTGATCTTCCTTAACATTCGCTCTAATCATGAAAATCTCCATCTCCTTGTAATAATTCTCCACACTCCTAGATCCCTGATAGAGACTTTGTAATTTTTGAGAAAGATTCCTATAGTAATGATTAGGGACGAACCTCTACCTTATAATAGCCTTCGATTCTCTCTATGTTTCAATAGGCCGCTCATGAGTTCTCCTCCTAGCGGTTACTGTTTAATCCAACCAAATGATAGCATAATTAGTAAATGAAACGACAGCAAGTTTTAGCATTTTCTCTTCCAAGTAGTTATGGCAATCAAATGTAAGCTCCACCTTCCCTTTCCGCTCCAAAAGCTTCTGGATCGCTCATTTCCTTGAATGACAAAATGATCATTTTAATATTGTCCATATTTCTATCAACTTCATCCCCATCATAATCTCTAGTCCTTCTATCATGCCTATTTTCCCTATTTCTCATCCTTCTTGTTTCAGCCTCCACTATGCTGCATCATCATCAACCCCACTATTCACTTTATTTTAACCATCAATTTTCGCTCTATGCTCCCATCTACCATGCCTTCTCGCGTTAGGAACTCCTCTAAGTTGTTTTCTACGTAAATTAGCAAGCAATGCGTCTTACCTATTCATTCATGCCTCTTGCCTATCCATTCTGTATCCCATACATTCAAACAATCTCTCGAATCGTCGTATCGTCTCTTCCATCATTACAACTTGATTATTCTTCCTGCTTGAAGTGAAATCATCTCCGTCATACATCCTAAATCTAGAATAACATTTGCCTCAAGTGTGTACACTCGTGTATCACTCAACCTGGCATTTTTTCCTCTATTAGTCTCACCGCTCTGCCTTTTTCTACTCAATGCTTTCTTGCAAGCGTTTCAAAAAACTAATTCGATCTCAATCAAATTCAATTTTTGTGGAGTTGAACTCAAGAAGCAAGAGTTGACATTCGAATGGAACACAAAGGATAAATTCGAGAAGATGTTTCTTGAATTCGACTAAGACACTTCTTGTTTTTGGACTCTCCATTTTTTTAGACTGCTAAACTTATTTTTTTTCAAAATTTTCTTTACTAAACGCATGAGAATTCAACAAGGAGCCCAAAAATTCGAAAAGAAATTAACTTTGACACTAATTTAGTGCGCAAAGAGCTTTTGAACATATTTTGAAACTTTAGTTGGATTGAATGATTTGAAAGATGAAGAACATGAAGAACGAGGATGAAAATTCAAACAAAATGTAAATGATATAACCTTCATTTTTGTAACCTTAGCTTTGGCACCAAATGATAATAACCCATGTAGCAATTGAAATTGCGAAACCTACGACAGATTATATCAAACTCAAGAAAGCCAAGGATCAACATTTGGAAAAGCTCGACTTGATAAATTATTGAATTAAATATATTGATCCCGTGATCACAAAATTTAAGTACCTTACTTGAATTGTTGAACGCTACAAGAAATAATCCTTGATATGTTTGAAAATTAATTCAATTGAAGAACGAGTAGAAAACAAATGTCTTGCAATAATATCTCTCAAATAGTGTGTTTTACAATTAAAAATGAGCCCTATTTACTGGGAACTCATAAAAACCCTAATTGAAACGGGATTTAACTTTAAAAATATGAAAAGATACTACAAAATAGAGCGTCAAAAAAATAGGAGATGTACGCGAAATTTGAAAAATTCACGTCCCAAAATTATACTCTGCAACCTCATAGTACTAATGCATGCGATTGCATAAGCATATCACATTCCTCGATTGGTTTCTCTGCATGGTAGCATCGGTCGCATGCCTTATGTAACTATGCGGTCGCATAATTTACTTGCTCAGCTCATTCATCCATTGCTTAAATCAAGTTGACCCATCTTATTTCTTCTTTTAAAATCAACATGATATAATATAACCAGCACTTGAACGCAACATGCCACATCAATATAAAACAAATGAAAATCAAATGTCTGGCCTATGTATACACTGCTCCACGTGCCTGTTTGTAGTCTCAAAGCCACCAAGGGACCTCTTAACATTGTCTGTATATAGGTACCGAAATTCAAATACCCTATCTTCAAATGATAAGTTTATCCAAACACTATAGTATGGCACATCTATAATAAGATCCACACACACAATTGCCAACCACAAATTGTCCATACGTTACGTTACCATGTCACATAATAATAACAAACATATATAAGAACATAATAAATGACGATAAAAGCGTGTATAACCTTTAAAATGTAACTGTCCATACGTTACGTTACCATGTCACATAATAATAACAAACATATATAAGCACATAGTTTCACATATTAACATGTCTTGTATTGCAATTGATGAACATCAATATTCGCCTTTTTGCAAATTACTTGATCAAAATCTGCATTAATAAAATAATCTCTAAGTTAATCACTTCATAACATCCTATCTCTCAATTAACAAACTTGAACCAGGCTTGCAACATAATATAATATGCTAAATAAAAGACCAGGGTAATAACACTAACAATAATAGTACTAATATTAATAGTAACAATGATAATAAAAATATTAATAGAATTCTCATCACTGCTTTATAAGAATTGTAACTGACAAAAAATTATAATCAATTTCGATTTACACTTGAAATGCATACTGCTATTCCATTTACTATTCAACTTAGGGATGAAAGCAGTTCGATTTGGATGGTTTGTGCCATATTTTTAACTCAAACCATTTCAAACGATTTAGGATTTTTCCAATCTAATCCAAACTATTTTATTTTTCAAACTAAACCCAATCAAACCATTATTTGACGCTTGGTTTGATTTTAATTTGCACATATCGACATAGTAATATATTTAACATATAACTTTAAATGAGAATTAATGAAAAAGGGAAAAACTAAGTAAAATACAATAACACGATAAATAAGGAAAAATCTAATCTGAACAGATTTCATCCATACGGATTTGGTTTCTTTGATATTAAAATCGAAAACCCAAATATTGTACCCTTCAAAGTTCAGATTACTTCTGGAGCTATCCAAAATGGTACTCCTACAAATATTTGTGACTTTTAATTGTATTTAGTGTGAGGTTTAATAATTCCTTGGAGCATAATAAATAGTAAATAACCAGAAACAATAAAATCAATGCACTTTAGCCACGTTGAAATAGAAAAAGAAATACTTAGGTCTATTAACTAAATTGGAAAAATAACTATGTAAATATAAAACAGCAAGCAGATGAAGACAAGTAAAAACACAATTGGGAAGAGGCTGCTGTCTTCATTAAGACGAATGTCATAGCACTAAAACTATGCAAATAAATAAATAAATAAATAAATAAAAATAAAAATGGAGAGAGAGAGAGAAAGAGAGAGAGAGAGAGAGAGAATAAATTTTAACACATTTCCAAATTGGTATGGCTCAATTAATGAAATTAGGAACACTAGGATACAATTGTTAAGCCTAACAAAGAAAAGTTAGTATGTACTGTAATTATCACCTTTTTTCCTGCAAAGTTAAAACTGTAAAATATATAATTTAACAAAATTGATTTTTTAATTAAAAATTTTTATAAAGCGATTCGATTCGATTTTGTGCCATGTTTAAAAATCAAAACCTATTTTGAAACGGTTTGTTTCAATTTGGATAAAAAATGTTTCGAGTCCACTTAAACTCGAACCAACGTTTTCAAACCAATGGTTTCGATTCGATTTACTGTTCCACGAGTGTAGCCCTAATTCAACCAACTCGACTCTACAATATTTTATCAATTAATTTTATTCGTGATACTTACCTTAACTAAATAAGACAAGAATCCATTTTCATTTGTCATTTGTCCAACTTACTAACAAAAACCAAAAGTTTGACAAACTTTCATTTTTTTGCAGTCTAATTAGCTGAGAATTTACGTAATTCAATTTTAAAACAGTGGTAAAGATATCGTGTTTGAGTGTTTTACATCTTTCACATTTAAATCTAGGCTTCTATAGCCAGTATGGAACCAAGTTGAGCTTAGATAACCATTAAAACAAAACACATTTTTTTCAAACTCATTTTTTAATACACATTCTCACAATAAAATACTTTGCACGTAAATCCAAATATTTTTCCAGTTTGTGACCACGTATACTCCAAAAATCACTATTTCAAAACTCATTTTCTTCGCAAAAAAAAAAAAAAAAAAAAAAAAAAAAACTATTTTTTCAACTGAATTAAGTTGACATGATTTAACTCAATGTACATCAACCGTATTTCAGTTTTTTGCAGTCTAATTAGCTGAGAATTTACGTAATTCAATTTTAAAACAGTGGTAAAGATATCGTGTTTGAGTGTTTTACATCTTTCACATTTAAATCTAGGCTTCTATAGCCAGTATGGAACCAAGTTGAACTTAGATAACCATTAAAACAAAACACATTTTTTTCAAACTCATTTTTTAATACACATTCTCACAATAAAATACTTCGCACGTAAATCCAAATATTTTTTCACTTTGTGACCAAGTATACTCCAAAAATCACTATTTCAAAACTCATTTTCTTTGGAAAAAAAAAAAAAAAAAAGGAGGACTCATTTTAATGGTTGTCAAATGGGAGCTAAATAGACATCAATTGCATTCTTATTTTTGCAATGAAGTTAATTAGCACGAGTTTGCGAAATTTAAAATACCACACTGTATTGTTCTTGGGGTGTGTGCTCAATTTTCACATATTTTCTACAATATTAGTTAATGTCTCTTGCCATTCAACTTTAGTGGGTTTTCCTTGACAGCACAAAGTATAAACATACACACCTCACACAGTTACATTTTCAAGAAATCAGCATGTTGGATGAAAATGTTTCGACTCATCTCTATACAGGAAATACAAACAAGAACTTACCCATGGCTCCCGATTCACATATACGTCGGCTGCAGTATTGTAAGTAGGCGACCCAACTGGAATTTAGATCACGAAATTTCCAGATCTAGCAGAAGTTCTCACACTCCGAAATAGCATACTTGATTATACTTCTTCAGCATCACTCTGGCTGCTGTTTTTCAGTATATCGAGCTTGCAAAGAGGACAGGTGGCATTGATGCACAGCCACTTGTCTATACAGGTACAATGAAAATGATGATGACACGGTAGTTCACGCAGTTCAGTTCCGTCATCATAGGCACAAAGGCAAATGCAGCATTCCTGCAGTCGAACACGGAAACAAGTTCAAAAGGTAAAATAATTTGGTGAGTAACGAGACAATCTAGTTAAATCAATGTCATCCTCCAAACCAATTGGGAAGCATCGGTCTCCATTAATTCGGTAGCAAATTCATCTCCAAACCTTTCATTATACATGCACAATGAAACTGTTCAAGTGTTCAAAGAATTGTAACAAGCCCGTAATGGAAACATGCATCACCACAAATTTCTGGGCCCAAGTCCAACTTCAGAAGCAAGAGATATTTGGAGGGTTTCCATGCTGATTCTGCAACTACAGTGAAAGGTTGGGACCAACTTCCCACTAGGGCAATAAGTTAGGAACCAGTTATGGCATTTTGCGAACCAATATGCAGTTGTATGAAATAGACTGTAGAAAAATGAAAACTTTGAAGAATTTACGGAATTTCAATCCATGAGATGTAAAAATAGAGCTAAATCAAACATACAGCATCTTCCAGAGGAAGAACATGCTCTGTGGGAGAGTCAGTATCGCATTCAGTCATTATTCCTCCAAATGATTCTTGAATTTCACCATTTTGTTTCTCGAAATCACCAATTCTTCGAAATTTGTATCTAGGAAGTCTCTCAATGTCTTCCTTGGTTGTTCCTTCCTGTTACCATAAAGAAGCAAATGTCAAATCAAGAAATAGATAACAAGATACTAAGAGGAAAAGACACTCAACTACAGAATATGAGCAATATTCAATCCACTTATTTATTATTTTCCAAGGAATAACAGTATAACACCAAGGCAAGTCTATGTTAGCATAAGCAGAACACTTTTTAAGGAAAAGACAAATGAGAGTTATGGCAGAAACTGCCAACACTTTAAATAACCAAGATACAGGAAGAATTGGAAAAATAACTACCCCATTAAACTCAAAACAGTTTTAAATATCTAATAACATAATTACGTCAAAAATTAATGAAACTAGGATATCAACTTCCAATATTCGTGAAAATGAATAGAAAAGAGAAAAATATTAGTGCACACTTGAATTAAATAGGATAACCCAGTGGTAAAAAAATTATTCTTTATCTTGCTGCTTCTTACTAATCACTCCCAAATTAATGAAAACCAACATATAGGGAAATTTATTAATTTATATTTTTGTAGATAGGTCAAAGATCAATGATGGTGAGGTCAAAACGGATCCTAAAGATCACGAATTAAAAAAACTACCCTAGAAGTCAGCAATTACAATGATTAGAAAATAATCCTAATTATTCACAGCATTACACAATTTCTAAAATGAGGAAAATTGTATTTTCCCACACTAGTCAATGATTTGGGCGTCCATGTAAGAAGTAAATTAACTTGAGATAATCAACTCAACTCGTAAAAAGTCACTTGAGTACGTGCATTGATTAATACCATCCAAACCTAAGAATAAATCGCTCATTACAGGAATAGGCATAATTTGATTCATACCGCTGGGATCTTCAACAATAGCAATAAAAATCTGACATAGTGACTTTTGTTGATAATCCATATTTATTGTCGAGAGACATTTCTCGTCACAATCCCAAAAATGAAATCATCTTCTTTCAATTATAATCTCCTCGAGAAACAAAAGACACAGAACCAAAGGTCTAGGTGAGAAAGGGAGAATTTCTGAAGCAAGATTATAGTCCATAAGGGATCTAAGCAACCCACTGTCACATAGGGTAGCTGATACACACGGACAGTGGGTCTGGTTTTCAATTTCCAAGCTTGAATAGGAATTATTCACCATTTTGATTTGCTTCAAGCAACTCATGGACGGGGTAAAAATGGAAAAAACACGTAAGAATTCACAGCTTTAGCAAATTTCATGAAGTGGCAATGAGGGAAATTGATGTAGAAGATGTTTCATATTCTTGAAAAGGATCATTTTGTAAACTAATACTTAAATTATTAAGACAAGCTATATGACATCATTTCCTTTGACTATGAAGGTCATGTTTTCAAACATATCCAACAAAAAGAAGTTACCTGACCAATAGAATGGAGGTAGTCAAAAAGAAAAAAATTAATTACAAATTAACGCTGCTTGGTGGAGTTCCTCATTATATGCAAATTAATTTTAATCCCTCCCCAGCTCCCCGTGGAGCAGTAAAAGGGAACATGAAATGCCCTGAGGGAGATATTGCTGAAATATAAGCAAGTGTCTTCCTACCATGGCCAAGCTCAGTTAAATCATTAATGTTAAAATTTCATAGATCATCACTTTGTAATGACTTGCAGCATTATCTCAAACTGAACTGGAGTACATGGATGTGTCTCTCTAGGTTCTTCTCATACACAGCCTTGTTAATAGCTAGCTTTTCCGGTTTACAAGCATACCATTACATGGTTCACATTCAATTCTAATCCTAAAGATATCTGATTTAATGAATGCACAAGTACCAGCTGCTTTGTGACGATACGATAGGGCTCTCCTGATTCCAGTAAAGCCAGCTGTGAACTTAGGATTTTTCCAAGAAGCTTAAAATGGACACTCATAGAGAAATATATAAATGGAGACTGGTATCCTGGTTTTGCTAGCCAATCATACATGCAGCAAACAAATTTCTACAACTTAATGTACCTGATCTACTACTGCATACAAGATCGCAATAATACATGGTAGACAGCAGCAAACAGCTATTCCAATGACACATGCCACTGCGACACACAGAACAACAAAGAACACATCGAATGCTAGAAATGTGATGCAAAGCCTGCAAAACAAAAATATTCATAGATAACTATAAACAACAATATTAAAAAGAATTGAAACTGAAGCAAAATTAGAGGGGTATATTTCGAGAACCAGTAAAGCTGAGGTGAATCATGGATCAAACTTTGGCTACCAGCTGATATCCAATAGAACCCAACTAACCACCAAATGAACGAGAACATTGTATTTGCAGACTCCAGATGTTTCACAATGCTGCCAAAAATTTACAGCATTAGTTTGTTACACATATCAATTTCTCTATCTCAAAATCTTAAAATTACTGAATACTTTAAAGGCCATCTGAGGCCCTGTTGTTGAGGAAGATATACAGAAAACGACTATCACTATAGTGGTTCGAAAACAACTGGCTACAGAATTATGTTTTCTTCAACAGGGATGACACATATAATCTTTTATCAACACATAATGTAAAAGGAAATTATGAGTAAAATTTGACATACAAAGTGGTTTTCTTCAGACAAATCAATAAGATGAGGATCTAAATATTTTTGTCGATATCATAGCCCTGCCCTCTGTGCCTCCATCAAGCTCCACTTAATAAAATATATTTTCCGGGTCATTGCATGATCTAATCGTGCCACAAGAACAATCACTTACTCTCTATATTGAATTTAGCCACTGTAGCTTCTATACAAGATATTGCGGCTTTCAGTTGTAGCTCTTACCTTTCACTGTCATTGTGTCAACTGGATATGTCCATAGCCCAATTCAAATGCATATACATGTGAGACCATGTATGTATGAATGTGTGCGGGTGGGTGTGCATATAAGTCTAGCAGTGCATATACTCCCATTTCCAATCCACGACAGTAGACATTATATGAATTTACAATGTAACCTAATTTAGATACATCAGTATCCATGTAAGTAGTTACAGATAAAATATTAGCGTAATATCAAAATAGACCGACAATACTAGTTTGAAAACATAAACTAATCCTATAAACTTAAACATATACCCGTCGACCTAAAATAACATTCAACAAGCGAATGAGCAAAAAAGTCTTGAAGGAAAAATTAAAATTATACACAAATATTAACCTTTACCCAGTTTCCTCGTCATCTGGCCGGCGCTCGGAATCATAATCCCCAGCCTCTCCGTCATCACTTCCAGAGCTCGAACTAGAGGAATTCCGACTGTACCTAACCCGGTCCCCCGATCTCCCATCCACATTCCGCTGCGCATACCTCTTCTTATACTCCACACACACGCACGCCATGTGGAGCACACATTGAAGAGAATAGACAACAATCCACAGCCTCAGAGGCATAGACGGAGAATCTTTCCTGCTAATGATCAGAATAGAAATCGAGACAATCACAAGCGCTAGGTTCCATATAAGGTCCAGTACTACTATAGGCTTAGAATACGCCCAGTCGCTCTGTCGCTCCTCGAGTTGCTCAGCAGCAGCCTCGCGAACGCGGACGGACGGCTCTCGCATCGCGCGGGTCCGGTTACTGGCTTGCCGGATGAAACTAGCCGCGCCACGGAGGCTAGGCGGACGGCGCAGAAAACGGTGTCGGGTGCGAGACACCCGTTCCCCCGTTAAAGGCGTCGTATCCACGGTGGCATTGGGGGTCGAGGAGGAATTGTTTGAAAACATTGTTTCAGGTGGAGAATTCCTTCAATTGATAAAATTGATGAGTTGATTGGTAGCAATTTGTAGGCATGAGATCTGTTTGTATAAGTTGTGCGTAGTTTGGAGTTCGATCGTAGAATGAAGTTTAGCAAAGTTGATTAAAATTTATGAAAGTTACTTAAATAGAATGACAAAGATATTTATATTTTAGATTATGTTTGTGTCACATTTTTTTTAAAAAATATACTTTTTTTAAACAGTGATTTAACATCATTTTAACTACATATTTTTTAATAAAATAATATTACATGCAAATTCAAAACTTTTATTTATTTTTTAACCAAACATTTCCCGTCAATACATTACTCAAAAATACATTTTTAAGAATATAATATGGCTCAAACGAGGGTTTAATAAATTTTGTAGCGAATCTTGCTACATTAACATATTTCTTAATAAAATGGTTGACTCAATATCACATAATATTTAATTATTGGATTGATATGAACACAACATTTTCATCCAATTAACATGTTTTGTCACTCTATTTATCAGCCACTTTAGAGTAAAGTGACATCTTGTATGTATATTCATGGATATAGATCAGATATAGCTCTTGTTTGAGCCCTATTTATTAAGAATTCTTTTTTTTTTTATCAACTCATTTTTAACCATTTATTCTGTCAATAAAATGATTTTATACATAAATTCAATTTTTAAAACTTTTTAACCATATATTTTCCAAAAAATTATTATTACAAAATTTATTCTCTTAAAAAATGAGGTTCAAACAAACCTATGATAGTCTCACAAAAGATGGTGTATAAGTACGAGATTAAAGATAACTCAATCTTCGTGGATGAGCAGTACAAGTATTTGAAAATAGAAATATTATTGTGTAATTAGTAGAAAATGTCTCTACATTTCATGTTATTGCGAATAATATTTATACCTTTCATTTTTTAACATTTTCACTCTTATTTCAACGTTTCATTGCAGAAAACATTCTTTTCACAATTTTCAATGTAAAATGACCAAAATACTCTCCAATTTAAATAAAACCAAAAAAAGAAAAGAATAAAATACAATTTTACTCCTAAATGTTTTAAAAAGTGCATGTGAGTCCAAATAATTATTAAAAAGTCTAATAACACAAAATGTCCCTACGTTTGCCTATAGTGTGCAAAACGTTCATACTTTTCATAGGTGAAAATGACATTTTCCACAATGAAACGTGAAATAGGGATGAAAATGTAAAAAAATTGAAATATAGGAACCTTTTCAGCAAGAAGTGTCAAACGTATGAATTTTTTTGCTATTGAGTCTTATTAAAATATTAAAAATTAAAAAAAAAAATTATAATGGTACAAATGAAACATTGTCAATAATACTTCATTTTTTTAGAGCAATTTCAATACTACGGCATTAACTTTCCTCTCCTCCTCTCTCTCTAATGCAAAATTTTTCTGTTTAATTTCTTCACACAAGCACAACAAACAAAAGTAGTGAACAATTGAGGGATTCCTACAATTCCCCCACCTGCCGATTGAATTCTGGGATCTCAAATACCAATTTACCAAAGACAATGCTTTCTCAAAAAATCCATATTCAAGATTACAGAAAAATATGGGTGATGATGACAACTTTTTTTTGTTATTTTTAATATTTTAATAAGATTTAATAACAAAAAAAAATCGTACGTTTGACACTTCTTGCGAAAAATGTCCATATGTTTCAGATTTTTTTGCGTTTTTATCCTCATTTCCATGTTTCACTACAAAAACGTTATTTTCATCAATTTGAAACGTATGGATGTTTTGCACACTATAGGCCAAACGTAAGGACATTTTGTATTATTAGGTCTTTTAATAATTATCTGGATTCATTTGCACTTTTAAAAATATTTAGGAGTAAAATTGTAAATTATTTTTTATTTTATTTTTTTGGTTTTATGTAAATGAGAGGGTATTTTGGTCATTTTATATTAAAATGGTGAAAAATGACGTTTTCTACAATGAAACGTTGAAATAAGGGCAAAAATGGCAAAAAATGAAAGGTATGGACATTTTGCACTATAACATTGAAAGGTAAGGACCTTTTGTGCTAATTACTCTAATATTATTCTACTCCCCTAAACAATATATCCATTTAAATGTAAAGGCAATAATTCATTGAATTAAACTTATCATATGTGGTCATCTATGTTAATGATCAATACCACTAATGCTGATAGCATTATTTATTTGAAATTGGTTGACGATAAAATAATAAGGGTAATATTATTTGCAAATCATTATATATATAATTGTCTACATATAAATGACATGGAAAGAGAGAGAAAAAAAGATGGAAATAAAATAAAATAAGTTATTATAGTCCCCATTTGTCCTCATTAAATGCCATTCCATTTCTCTCTCTTATATTTACAACCACAATCTTCTATAAAATAATATTATACGTAAATTAAAAAAATTTCCTTCATTTTCAACCACTTATTTTTAAAAAAAATATATTATTTCACCCATTTTCATTTCCTAAAAATGGGGGCCAAACAGGGGTCTATTTCATGTTATTTATCTGGATAACATTATATACATAATAATGAACAAATAACATTATTCTTTTTTCATGTCATTTATCTATACACCATTACGTATACAATAATATACAAATAACATTACTCAAAAAATTATGCTACGAAGGTTAAAGACATATGAGAGACACGAGTGTTTTATAAAATATGAAATATGTAATTGATAGAAGGTATTCAAGTCGATCTTAATAGAATTTAAAATTGAGTTAGCCCTATCCGCAATGAAAACATGTACTTTTTGAAAATTTAAATAGAGAAAATGTTGAGTTAATTGTTCCAATGGTCAATGTTTTTGATTGGGCATTGAATTTTAAAATGTCGAGTTTTGATCATTGAACTTAGGATAATATTTTTGATTGACCGTTGAAATTTAAAATATCGACTTTTGGCCATTCAACTTTGAAAAATATTGAGTTTTGGTCATTGAACTTAGCTCCATGTCTTTGATTGCTCACTGAAGTTTAAAATGTCGNTGTAAATGAGAGGGTATTTTGGTCATTTTATATTAAAATGGTGAAAAATGACGTTTTCTACAATGAAACGTTGAAATAAGGGCGAAAATGGCAAAAAATGAAAGGTATGGACATTTTGCACTATAACATTGAAAGGTAGGGACCTTTTGTGCTAATTACCCTAATATTATTCTACTCCCCTAAACAATATATCCATTTAAATGTAAAGGCAATAATTCATTGAATTAAACTTATCATATGTGGTCATCTATGTTAATGATCAATACCACTAATGCTGATAGCATTATTTATTTGAAATTGGTTGACGATAAAATAATATGGGTAATATTATTTGCAAATCATTATATATATAATTGTCTACATATAAATGACATGGAAAGAGAGAAAAAAAGATGGAAATAAAATAAAATAAGTTATTATAGTCCCCATTTGTCCTCATTAAATGCCATTCCATTTCTCTTTCTTATATTTACAACCACAATCTTCTATAAAATAATATTATACGTAAATTAAAAAAATTTCCTTCATTTTCAACCACTTATTTTAAAAAAATATATATTATTTCACCCATTTTCATTTCCTAAAAATGGGGGCCAAACAGGGGTCTATTTCATGTTATTTATCTGGATAACATTATATACATAATAATGAACAAATAACATTATTCTTTTTTCATGTCATTTATCTATACACCATTACGTATACAATAATATACAAATAACATTACTCAAAAAATTATGCTACGAAGGTTAAAGACATATGAGAGACACGAGTGTTTTATAAAATATGAAATATGTAATTGATAGAAGGTATTCAAGTCGATCTTAATAGAATTTAAAATTGAGTTAGCCCTATCCGCAATGAAAACATGTACTTTTTGAAAATTTAAATAGAGAAAATGTTGAGTTAATTGTTCCAATGGTCAATGTTTTTGATTGGGCATTGAACTTTAAAATGTCGAGTTTTGATCATTGAACTTAGGATAATATTTTTGATTGACCGTTGAAATTTAAAATATCGACTCCATTCAACTTTGAAAAATATTGAGTTTTGGTCATTGAACTTAGCTCCATGTCTTTGATTGCTCACTGAAGTTTAAAATGTCGAGTTTTGTCCACCGAATTTTGAAAAATATTGTACATTATACATTGTAAATCCGATATTTTTCAAAATTCAACAATTATGCTAGTGAATAACGTACAGCATATTCCAAAATTTAGTTGTCAAAACTCGACATTTTAAATTTCAGTGACAAATCTAAGACATGGACATAAGTTCAATGAGCAATTGAAAACATTGACCTAAGTTCGGTGATCAAAACTCGACATTTTAAAATTCAGTGATCAATCAAAGATATGGACCTAAATTCGATGACCATAACTCGATATTTTTCAAAGATGAGTAGCCAAAACTTGATATTTTAAATTTTAGTAGCTCAACATTTTCTCTATTTTAAAATGTTGAGTTAATTTTTAACTCGAAAATGTTATTTAATGCAACCAAAAGCCTGTAGGTAATTTTTCATCAGACAACTGCACACTTCATGAGATAAACAATCACATAAAATTTTGTTTGGACGAGACCAGAAAAACCATATGATTACTGGAAATATGAGGGGAAGAGGATGAAAGGGAATTGCTGGTCGCGTGGTCGTATGATTTTCGTGACTTTGACTGCCTTCTTCTGGAGGATTATGTACGTTCTTTTTACTTTTTCCGCTGTCTTCCTTCCCCTTCGATGAGTAAAACTAACTTCATCACCATTCTTTGTCTCCCTTTCTTTCTCCACGTCCGCCATCCCCTTCTCTCACCCGATTCTTATGACTACCCACTGTAATCCTCCCAATTCCACGTAGCTCCGCCCATGTTCACAAGTTCTAAGCACTGGAAGCAAAAAGAAAGCAACTCATGCCCCCCTGAAACTAGGATATTTCCAGCCGGAGTGGGTAAAAGAGCAATTTTTCAGGACCCGTCACTCCCAATTCTTTGACTGTTTATTTTTTTTTCTTTCTGAACCAAAGTTGGGAATCGGGGTTTGTGTACTGATAATGTTGCATTGCCTAAGTTTTACCCGTTGGAACTATAGATGTAAAAACTTGAGTCAGGAATTCCACAGCATTGGCAAAAAAGATTTTCTATTTGATGCAAATAAATATTTGAAGGAGTTGGCGAACTCCGGTCGAATTGATGAAGCTAGGAAAGTGTTTGATGCAATGCCTAAGAGAGACGAGTTTTCGTGGAATACAATGATTTCTGGGTATGCAAATTTAGGAAGGTTTGTTGAAGCTAGGACACTCTTCGACGAGACTCCAAAAATGAGTGCAATTACTTGGGCATCATTTATTTCTGGATACTGTAAAATGGGGTGTGAAATTGAGAGTATTGAACTGTTTTGGCAAATGCTATGCGAGGGGCACAAGCCCAGTAAGTTTGTGTTGGGAAATGTGCTTAGGATGTGCTCTATTAAGCGTCTACTTTCAAGAGGTGAACAAACTCAAGGTTATGCTATTAAGACACAATTTGATAGGGATGTCTTCATTGTTACTGGGCTAATCGACATGTACGTGAAATGTTGTCGTGTTCTTGAAGCTGAATATCTTTTTAAAAAGATGGCTAGTGGGAAAAATCATGTTACATGGACTGCTATGATTAATGGTTATTCGCTAAATAGTGATGCTGACAAAGCAATTCAATGCTTTAGGGGTATGAGGTCTGAAGGGGTAGAGGCCAACCAGTATACATTCCCAGCAGTGTTGACAGCTTGTGGATCTGTTTCTGATCTTATGTTTGGGGTGCAGGTGCATAGTTGTGTTGTTCATGGTGGTTTTGGTGATAATGTGTTTGTTCAAAGTGCGTTGGTCAATATGTATGCCAAGTGTGGGGACTTGAGAAGTGCCAGGAAAGCATTAGAGTCAAGGGAGGTTGTTGATGTGATTTCATGGAATGCCATGATAGTTGGGTGTGTGAGACAGGGTTCCTCAGAGGATGCATTGTCATTATTTCGTACAATGCATGCAAAACGTATGGAATTTGATGAGTTCACATACCCCTCCATCCTCAATGCTCTTGCTTCCAAGAAAGATGTAATAAATGGGAAATCCGTCCACTCTTTGATCTTCAAAACTGGATTTGAGAATTACAAACTTGTAAGCAATGCTCTAGTCGATATGTGTGCTAAGCAGAATGACTTAGATAGCGCTTCTAAGGTGTTCAATTTTCTGGAGGAAAAGGATGTTGTTTCCTGGACCTCCCTTGTCACTGGTTGTGCTCACAATGGCCGCCATGAAGAAGCCTTGAAGTTTTTTTGTGAAATGAGAACCGATGGGATTAATCCTGACCAAATTGTCACTGCCAGCATTTTGAGTTCCTGCGCAGAGTTGGCATTGTTAGATTTTGGGCTACAAGTTCATGCAAATTTCATTAAGTCAGAACTTGGAACGTCCTTATCAGTTGATAATTCTCTTATAACAATGTATGGAAATTGTGGGTGCCTGGAACACGTCAATAAAATTTTTGCCTCAATGCAAATTCGAAATGTGATCACTTGGACAGCTCTTATAGTTGGTTACGCGCAAAATGGTAAAGGAATGGAGTCTCTCCGATTCTATGATGAAATGATAGCTTGTGGGACTAAACCTGACTATATTACTTTTATAGGCTTACTATTTTCTTGCAGCCATGCAGGTCTCGTTGAACTTGGTCGCTATTACTTTGAGTCCATGGTAAAAGATTATGGCATAAGGCCTGGTCCTGATCACTATGCCTGTATGATCGATCTTTTGGGTCGATCAGGGAAAATGCATGAGGCACAAAGTTTACTGGAAGAAATGGATATCAAACCTGATGCAACTGTTTGGAAAGCATTGCTTGCTGCATGTAGAGTACATAGGAATGTTAATCTGGCAAAGAGAGCGGCAACTGCTCTCTTTGAATTGGAACCTCGAGATGCTGTCCCTTATGTCATGTTATCAAATATATATTCTGCAACGGGAAATTGGGAAGAAGCTGCTGCAGTTAGAAGATTGATGAAATCAAGAGGCATCAGCAAGGAACCTGGACGTAGTTGGATGGAAGTAAACAGCAAAGTGCACACCTTTGTGTCTGAAGATAGAAATCATCCAAACGCAGACGAGATTTACTTGAAGCTTGATGATATTGTAAAGTTGATTAAGGAAGCGGGTTATGTGCCTGACATGAATTTCGCTCTTCATGACATTAATGAAGAGGGCAAGGAACATGGTCTTGCCTATCACAGTGAGAAATTGGCAGTTGCTTTTGGGCTTCTCTACGTGCCACAAGGAGCACCGATTCGGATATATAAGAACCTTCGGGTCTGTGGTGACTGCCATACTTCCATGAAGTTCATATCAGATATTTTTCAATGCCATATTATTTTAAGGGATTCAAATTGTTTTCATCATTTTAAAGAAGGAATGTGTTCTTGTGGGGATTACTGGTAGGAAGTGCATCCTCTTACTTGTTTGATCTGAATCTCCCTTTAAGAAGCATGAGGTTTTATAAGCTATTCTGTGTGATTAGATGGTCGATAACGGTGTCAATGTTTGTGATAGCCATGTTTTCATCAAACCATCACCAGGATAGATCTGAAGTGGAATGCGGAGTGGTTTACTTACCCCGGTGTGGACCACCTACATCCTAATATTGTTCTTCTCGTGGCTGGTTGTGCTCTTCGTTGTTGGTTGTTCCCTTGGCTTGGCATGGACCATTGTTCATCTCTCACATTTCCATGAACGTTCTAAATTATGGTTGATTTAGTGATTATATTTATTTGTGATGGTAAGGAGCAGAAATATTGTTTATATTTTTTTTACCTGTTAGGGTTTGGTTTAATTAATTTTGTCTGTGCTGGAAGGTTCGTTGTGTTTTTGAGCAAGGATAGACTGGTTTATGGATCTGACTTTGATGATTTTTATGTTTAATGTGTATCGTCCAAGGAGAATGATTTCTCAGCTGAGAATTAAGTAAAAAAATTAACTGGTTATATAATAGTTGTTGTTCTTATGGAATCAAAGATTAAATTGAACGTTTACATACCACTTTTTATCAGTGATAACTACAAAAAAAAAATTGTTTTTGATGTTTAATGGGGGTATGGTCCAAGGAGAAAGATTTACCTGCTTAGAATTAATTAGAAAACCATTTAGGTAATAATTGTGATTCTTTGTGGAATCTATTTGATAAAATTTTTAATGCCAATATGGTGTTCAGAGAATAATTTACTAGCTGAGAATTAAGCAGAAAAATTAACCATTTATGCAATCATTGTGGTCCTTGTGGAATCTATGATTTGATTAAACTTTAGACAACTTTTTTACAGTGTTGAATATGTTTTAGAGCTCTATAGCTTATGTATGAGTTAATCAAGGAACCTCTCTGTGGTCATGGATGTTAGTGGAATTTTGCAACTACTCAACCACAGGGTTCAGTGAATTGTGTCCATGAGGGCATACAAACTACTTTATCAGCATGATCTAACATATTATTATGTGATCCCTTGCTTATGGGCCCCAATTAGTTCCTTTATTGATTTCATCCTAAACAAACTTTTACAGACAGTGTACTTTCTCTAGGTCTTTGTACCTGCTAGGATAGAGCTTGTATTTTGTATGTAAATGTGCTGAATTTTCTTATATGTGGTCTAGGTTACTTATCAATGCTTTCACTGGTAGAAGGGAACAACATTTTCAGATGATCAGGGCATCTACAATATGTTGACTTGATGGGAGCAAATAGACAATTGCAAGCAGCTTACTCGCATTAGGAAGTTTTTGACAGTCATACCCATGGTGCTGTTAGTATTCTCCCAATCTTGATTATATGTTTGCTCCTCATTAGTTATTAAATCGACTTTTATCTTATAAATAGCTATTGATTTTGAAATGGCATGGTTGTTGTTGATATTGAGTCCTTCAAACATTGTTATACAGTTTTGCAATAGGCCTTTTTCTGGTAAGGTGTGAAATGATAATGCCATCCAAATACTTATCTAGCATACACAATGGATATTGCATTAGCCCATATTTAGACAAAAAACCATATGTCCATGACTCAGTGCTTCTTATCCTTTCATATATCAGCCTCCATGTCGATTCAAAATAGTTGGTCTCATTAGTGAATTTTCCAGTATGCATTGCAACTGTTAGTGTATTAAACTTCCATTAGGTAAAGCCATAAAAATGACCAAATTGGATAAGCTCCTCCTAAGCTCAACCCAAAATGGCCCCACAAGCATGATACAAGAGTACATAATGTGTGTTGTATGAGCAATACATGTTATTTATTTATTTATTTTATTACGTGAATCTGATCTTTCCATAATAAAGTAAAAGACTGTTCTTGCTCCTAAGTTTATTGCTTCATTAACACTATTTGATCGATCAAGATAGCTTTTTTAGTTTGTAGCTTGCTTGCTCTGTGCTTGTGCTAAGGAGTAGAGAACAGTCCTTTACCCTTTTCATATCATTATATAAGCATATAAATAGAATTCATTGATGCACTCACATTGTAAACAAGATCTATTCATTGTTAGTGTGGAAAACAAATATTAATAAATCAATAACATTGCATTCATTAACTTTTTTGGTCTAAGACTGTTATTGAGGATTTTAGATATGTAGAAGAGGAAAATCTTGAATATTGTTGCAAATTGCAATTGCAATTGCTTGTCTTGTTGCACTGCCAAATGAGAAGGGACATGTTGCCAAAGATGGCACCACCACCACCACCACTATAGGTGGTGCAGCAGTTAACCACCATATCACTACAGGATTCTTGAAGGCACTATCTCTTTGTAGCCTTCATCTGATCCATGACAAAAGGTTGAATTATGCTTGTTCGGTTGCATTGTTGTCAAGTTTGTTCATGAAGTTGATGGTATTTGATAGATTGCAGACCGACCTGTGAGGGAAGGACAAATGTATGTGCCGGTTGATTACAAAGGATTTAGGTTAGGAGTTCTGTTAGCATTTTGTTGAACTATATAGCTAGGAACCAGGATACCAGGGTGGAATCCTAGCTTCAAGTCCCTCTATCTTAGATTTAAGACGTCATTTTCCATTTTATAAGCTAATGAAATGCTCTAAACACTCAAATCTTTTCTGTTGCAATCAACCTCCCATCTTGGATGCCATTCCTTGCAAACCAAATGGGCCTTAGGTATTGTTTGATTAGCAAACAAATGGATGTATAGCTTCACAATTTTTCCTTCTACCCAGAACTTCCGATGAGGCTTCTTTATATAGCTGTTCATTATTTGGCAATAATATGTGTTGGAAATCAAGAAGATATTTGACAGTAATTACCAAGATTGATTAGTTGTAAATTAGAAGGTAATTTGTCAATCATTGTAAATTTGCAATGTATATTTATTAGGTAAACTAATTAGTTGTTATTTTCCTTGTTTAGGCATTATTTCCCTAATTTTTATTTCCTGTAATTCCTAGGAATCCATGTAAGTCAGAAATTATTCAATTCAATAGAAAAGAATCAATTCCAAATTATTCTCTCAGTTTTTTATGGTATTAGAACCAGCAACTGCATATCGACTCCTCCTTGTTCTCCTCTATTTTGCCTTTCTTTTTCCAGTTTCCTAGTTTTTTGCCTCGGTTGTAGCACCATGTCTGATGCTTCAATTGAATCTGTCGTTGTCACACCATCCTCATCTGTTACAAACCTATCAAAAGGTAGTGGAACCCACTCCGAGTCTCACTCTGTTCAAATCACCACTATTCACTTGAGTCGTGATAATTTTTTGCATTGGTCTCAATCAGTTCGCATGTACATCTGAGGGCGTGGGAATATGGACTATTTGACAAAGGGCCCCCTGCAGAAGATGATCCGGTCTATGTGACTTGGGATGCTGAAAATTCCATGGTCATGACATGGCTTGTTAATTCTATGAAAGAAGATATTAGTTCTAACTATATGTGTTATCCAACGGCACAAGAGCTTTGGGAGAATGTGAACCAGATGTTTTCAAGGAGAGGACCATCAAACTTGGTGAAATCTGTCAAGGAGAGGACGCTGTCACAAGTATTTCAACTCTCTGAGACAGGTGTGGCAAGATCTTGATCTTTTCAATACCTATGAATGGAAATCTGTGGAAGATAGCAAGCATCACAAGAAAATTGTCGAGGACAATCGAATTTTTAAATTCCTTGTTGGCCTCAATATTGAATTTGATGAAGGGGGAGAATCATTAGAAGATAGCCCCTTCCTTCAATTAGTGATGTCTTTTTGGAGGTAAGGAGAGAAGAGAGTCGAAGGAATGTGATGCTTGACAAGAAAGGACCCAGTGCTGTTGTTGAAACCTGTGCCTTGTGGCTGCATAGTGTAAGAATTATTGATTTTTAGATTCGATGCCCCTCATTGTGAGGTTTCCTCCTATTAAATAGAAAGAATCTAGGTAATTACAAAGGCTAAGTACATAACTCACGCCTAACTATCTGCTATTTACTACATGACACATGCCTGCCTATTTGTTATTGCATAATTCGTGCCTAACTATTTGCAATCTACTGATTGGCATCCCCCCTCAAATTGATGCTGGTTGATTAAGAAGCATCAATTTGCTCACAAGAAATCGATGACGCTGTCAAGTCATGGCCTTTGTAAAAATGTCAGCTATCTGGAGGGCAA